AGAATAAAACAATATAGGAACATAAGAACTACATAGCAAAAAAATATTTGAATCTTAAATACTATTGTCTAACTTATCAACATAAATATAAGTTCTAAATATACATATGTACAAAATTCGACTAAACATATAATGTAGTGTATACGTAGTATAAATAAACGGAGATCATTTTTATTAACTTTCCCACAGTCTAATTGAATACTTAACTAAATGTATACATATGTTTTTTTAATATCAATTTTTTTTTGAAAACGAATAGAGTAGAAATGAGTATCTGTTTCAAGATGAAGAGATATACTGTATGGGGAAAGTTGAGTTCAGGGGTGTGAAATTCACAAAAAAATTCTTAATTGCGCATTTGTATAAGAATAATTTATTTCCCTTAATTTTTAGAGCATCCCATTATAAATAAACCTAACTTTCTGAACACAACATAATCCGAAAGATGCAATCTTTTCGAATGTCGATGATTTATGAATTTTATGTTTTTATCTTTAATTTCATCAAACCATTGATAATTATTGTTATTCTTCTTATAGTGAAAACATATTTGTGTATATAATCTTATCAACAATTAGAACATAGGATCCACATTTTATATTCCAAATAGACTTAACTATTAAGTAAAACATATGAAGATATAAAGTTTATTACAAATATAATCTCGTTAAAACCTCTTAATAATAAAACTTCTTTTATTTAAAACAACATACTAAAAACTTTTGTAGTAATGAGATTGACTTTTGTAAACAGTACAATTTTCATTACTTTAATTAAAGCTGTTATATTTGAGGACAAAATAAAGTTGTAGTATAATATACATTATATTAAAATAAACAGCGATTCAATGCGACCAAAACTTATATTACAATAATAGCATGTTTTGCTTAATATTCCTAACTAAATAATCATTTGAAGAATAAACATAGGCAGTATACGATTATGTTACGTGACTTAGTTTAAAAAATATTTAAATTACCTTTTCGAGTTTCTGTATTGGATTTGAATGTAGGAAAACATTTTTCTAAATATTTACATAATCCTGGCATTAAAAGATTAAGGTTAATCGAGATTTTATGTAATGCTATGGTGAAATATTTTAGAAGTTTTTAAAATTTATAAAAACATTTGTATTATAAATGAAAACGACAAAATGTCCTCTGCAATGTGTACAGAATGCTAAATTCAGTATCTCTTGTTAATGCATCTAAGCTTATTGATGATGATCGAGGGCAAGTAAAATACCCCTTGGAAGAATTTTATTTATCAAATATGTATTTAAAATTTAATTCATTACCGTGAAAGTGATAAAAATCTGGTTAAGAAATAAGTGACCTATGAGCAAGCATTTCTGCTCCAATATACTAAAACCATAATGAATGCAAATAAAAAAACGAATGGAAGACTATACGATTATTTCTCTTAATATGTCAACTAACAGTCATATATTACTTAATAATTATATGAATAAATGATAAATAAACTAATATTTAAGATGATTTTATATATTTCGTAAGGGTGTCAACAAAATAGTTACATATCAATTCAGTTAAATTAATAATGTAAAATTAGGAAAAAAACAATGTTATAAAATATATAACAATGTTATGACATATATATACATATATAGGCTATATGAGTACTCGTCTGATAAAATATATCTTATTTATAATGCTGGAAGGCACATACATATTACTTAATATTTACTTATTGAAACTACATAACGAGAAGGGTAAGATAGATTTGCTATTAGTAATAAAACATGATTAACAATTTATTTATTAAAAATATAGGTGAATATAAATGTGCAACTGACTTTTACAGACGATTAGGTAACTAGTCGTTTATTGTTTTTTGATGAGAGTGAAGTAATCTTTTTTCTAATATTTACTGTAACAATAATTTAATGTTGGATATTTTAAATTCTATGGATATGAAAGGAATAGTGTGAACTCCAGATTATGCACCCGAAGTATAAAATGATCTAATGATGTTACGAACGAAATGATTTCAGAATAACATTTTTGAATAGAACTTAACATAAAACTACGACGTGGTATTTTTAAGTATATTTTATTTCTCTCAATAAAGCTGAGGACTTTATGAAAGTCCTTTGTGACTGTACTTTATGAAAATGCAAATATAATTTTCCATTCATACCTAGATTGCATATGATTTTACCAATATATAAATACTATACTACACTACGAGTACACAATAAATACATCGTTGCAATCGTCGTCATCAGCCTAGCAGAGCCCACTGATGAGCAAAGGTATCTTACTCACATGGAGAAATAAATACATACTATCACATAAAATCACTCTCAGCTTAGACTAGACATGTGCAAAAACCACATACTACCGACGTTTCGGTCCTGTAAAGCAGTAGTAGTTTTTGATAAAAATAAAAAATCGCGTAGTATATCCGAAAAATATTAGGTTCATTTAAATGAATACTTGCGAAAGTCTTAGATCTCATTAAACATGTGCTAGTTGTGCATAAAGCGATGTTACAAAGCAAGCTCTGAGTCGCTGCCCGAAAGCTCTTTATTCGAAAATTACACGTATTTAATATTTGTTAATTTCTTTTTAAGTTAGGTCAACACGTCCTGTAGGTACATCTAAGCGTGGAAACATTTAACAGATCGTTGTGTGTACATTCAAGATGTATAAAAAAATATATGTTACTTCATAAGGATTTATATGGCTTTGTATCATGTATACAGTCCTAGCCGACTGTACGTTATGTTATTCAACATCTCATATAGTGTGTAAAAAAACATTCTTCTTTTTTAAATTCTTTTAAATGACAAAGCGACGGTGTTTATGATTCAAAATAAACCAAAAGGTATATGAAAAAACGCTATCCAAAGTCACTATTCCACTCGAACAAAGTCGTGGGAAGCCTTGAAGAACTCCCGAGGTAGCTGTGAGAAAAATCAGAGCGGAAACCATTCATACAGACTGCTTGACTTCTATTTTTAACAAAGATTCTATTCAATGTAAAAGTTTACCATAAAAACCTGACCTTCTATATAAATTCTAAATAAATCATGATTAATTTTGTTTCAAGTTACTGAGAAGTTAGCATAACATTTACTCCATTAATTTTATTCATAGCCTCTAGTATGTTATTTGTAAAACAAAGAATTTTTGTGTCATAACTTCGGAATTCTCTGAAACTATATTGAGTTTCCGATAATGGACTACGGAAATTATAAGAAAGAGACTTGGAACCATTTATTATAAATATATATTTTTACGGATATTTTAAGAAAAAGTTTTAAATGTCAAAAAAATCGATAATATTCATAACAATCTCTAAGCACCATAAGTGCAAATAAAAATGAAAATTCCATCAGGTGAAGAGAAAATCAATTGCATCTTTGTGAAAGCTGAGCTTGAAAGCATATCACTTGAACGTTTTGAATAGTAAACCGATGAATAAAGCCATTCTCTAATAAGATGCATTTCATTCACATTTAACAAATTTCTCAAAGGAATTCTTTTTATTCTCCACACAAAGGTTACGAAAATTCAATTATAATGGTAAGTAATGGAAGCTTACGAAAGGTATGATAGAATAAAAAAAAATGTATACTGTAACTATATTGGTTAGGTTTCGAATGATTTAAATATATTTTTCTAAAGACCATATGTTTTATATTAAATAGCTTTCATAAACTTTTTAAATATTCATTAAAAATTGTATTATTTTAATATTATACTTCGTAAGGAAAATATGTGACCAATAATCCGTCAGGATAACAAAAAAGGCCTTGAAGGGAGGTCATTCTTTTTCCTGTTACTAAATTCACATACAGTAGCTATTAAAGAGATTCGGGAGATATAATATTTTTAAATAAGTCGATTAAATGTAGAAAATTTATTAAAGATCTCGAATTAAATACGGACAAATTCGTTATTATATAGTTTCAGCCTCATTACCAATTACTTAAGTTTTAAATAAAAACGTAACCTTAAAATAGAAATCTTGTTATAAAATACAAAGTTCAATTCGGGTCTTTATTTACAGCTTTAATCACTTTTAAGTCATAATCAGTGTCTGTTCAGTCAAATGTGAAAAGCCTTTCAAAGAAAATTTTTAGCTGACACTGTCAGAAGTAACATACAGCTCAGAATTGGCTTTAATTCATCCACAACGCTTCAATTAAGCTTCTGGCAGCCAAGCAGCAACTTAATGTACTTCATTTGCCTCATGCCAGTAAACAGACATAATGCCGCAGTCAATTTCCTTATAATAAATAATATTTTCTTTCTCCGCATATTGAGTTTCATATCTACTAATATTGTCATGGAGTCATTTGTGCGTTAAAATACTCACGAATGAAATGAAATGTTTAGTTAAATATGTATTTGTATAAGCCTAGTGTTACTTGTCATAATTTCTTGTGGAGTATTTTAATATCCTATTGACAACCCAGACATAGTTCCCTGCATATAAATTATAAAGAGTTCGTTGGTAAAAAAAATTCATGTATAAGAATTTTTGATTTCCATACCTTAAAATTTTGTGGTTCATTAAATAATTACGTTTATTTAAATTTATGTGTTTACATTTTATTTGGATTTAAAACCAATTGTGTTTAAACAACATCCAACAGTTAAATAATTTGATGTTGACTTATGTAAATAAATCTTGGAAAATTGTGTAAAACAATAAAAATATACATAAATAAAAATTAAAGTCTCCGCAATATTTATTTGCCTATCTTATTATTTTTTTTAAATTTTATATTCAACAGCACTTGTGAAGGTCTTTGTTACAAAAAAAATTATTCATGTATTACATAGAATGAGTCATATTCCTACCTTTATAATAGTTATAAACTCCTTTAATCTCCCTTGTTATGTAACATTAAAAATAAATACGTTCCTTAACAAGCAATCACAAACTAACAAGTGTGTAGAGCATTTCTCGATTGATTTTAAATTGCTTCTTTATGTGAGAATTTCTGTTAGTCTGTATATTATAGTTTACTGTTTACATTTCTTAAGAGGTTGTTTCAAATTACTTGCTCTCTGAATAGTTGTTAACATCGAAATAGATTTTGCAACATATTCCCGGATTATCCGAATAGACCGGAACACGATTTAAGAAAGTTATCTGACTGTCTGATATATTCAGTTTCGAGATTGTTTGTATTGCCGAAGTAGGAGTACAAAAATTTACTTTTTTATTATTTTTCACTACTTTTTAAGTGGCTACGTTGATTGTTAAGATAAAGTTAAGCACAAGATTTTTATTCAGGTTTATTACACGTTTTTTAGAAGATTGATATACAAAAAAAAATTATTGGATCTCACATTTCAATTATATCTACTAGGACTTCTTATCATGATATGTCTACTAAATTTTGCATTTTTCGGTAGTTGATTTTTAATGTAAAATGAAAATGAACATTTGAAAAACATGCTTAAATATCAAGACAACACGCCTTGCTATACAAGGGTTAAGAGACAAACATGACAAAGATTTTTGTTTTTGGCTTACAATACCCTGTTTACATATTTAATAGGACATGAAATTAAAATCTTACTTTGAAGTTACAATGACCATAGACATACATGAAACATTTTCTTTAGCATGACGAATTATGGCGCTTACTAACAGTTTTATTTTAAATGTAAATGTTTTATAATCCCTACTATATTAATATTATAAATGCGAAAGTAACTCCGTCTGTCTGTCTGTTACGCTTTCACGTCTAAACCGCTGAACTGATGTTCATGAAATTTGATACAGAGATAGAGTCGACCTTGAGAAAGAACAAAGGATAGTTTTTATCCCAGACTTTTAAAAAGTTCTCTTGGAAACGCGATATAACCGAACACGACGCAGGCGAAGCCGCGGGCGGAAAGCTAGTATTATATAAGTGTTTAATAACTATTAATAGTTATGAAGTCTTTATAAAAAATAGTTCTTAACTATGTAAAACAGATCATAAAAACAGGGATTCCCTAGTCCCGATATAAAAATGATATTGGATTCGAGTTAGTTCAGATTTCGATTAAGATATGATTTTATAATTCTTACAAAAGAATTCTGTTATCCCTGATTTTTAAATTTGAATTCTGTTCATGTTGGTGGCATACAAAGTCTCCTCTTCTTTTTCATCTTATATGTATGTTTAAAAATATACAAAGGTAAGATAAATAAAATAAAAAATAACATTGGCATAGGGTTACGTTATTGTTCAGTTCAATCTCGACCAAAACATATTTGCAACTGTCAGGACGTTACTTGAATAATGAGGTGGTACTGAGGAGAAATGGAAAATAAAAGCTTGAATGAATCGATTCTTCCAGAGGAGTGATGAGAAGATACTAGAAGGATTTAGGTTGTGTTTTGTTTTGATTTATAAAAGGCTCCGAAAAGTTTTTATTTGGTACAAAATTATCTTAGATATTTTTACGTTTTCAGCATTAAAGAAAAAGATTTATGTTTGTGTATGAATAATGAAGTAACAAAAAATTGTTTTAAGTTTTATATCTTTATTTAAATTATCGAAGCGATCTAGAGGAAATTTTATATGTAAAATAATATGTTATACTTTTATATCTCGAGTGAACATCGTGGAAAAAACTAGTTTTCAATAAATATAAAGTACTTAACAGAGTAAACTTCATACATAATAGAAGTATTCAGCAACGTTAAATGTAAACATTGTAACGAATTTTATCAATGTCATTGTAAATATTGTCAGAAAACTTGGCTCTCTGTGAATTCCAAATAAATGTAGGCCGTATGCAGTATTTTAAATAAATGTTATAAAATGGCCACGAAAATAAAAGGATGACTGTGAGAGTGTTAGAAATTTCAATGATATTTTTCAATAGAAATAAAATAAAATGTTTCAAGGTTATTTTTCTGTCATAAATAAATATTACATCATATTGTTATTTGGATTGTTCAAATAATTTTAGTGGTTAACTTTAATGAATTTTAAATAAAGTATTAGTCCAAATAATTCAACTTGTTAAATGCGTACAAAACAATTAATTTAAATTGAAATAACATGATTTGTTAAATAAGCGTTCACAAGCACTTTAGAATTTTTTATCTAAATGTTAGTCTTGTGTTTTCCTCAGTCCTGTTGACAAAAAGTTTGCTTTTTTGAGCGAGCATGGAAGAAACTAAATATTTTTCTTTTAAATCGATATAAAAATCACAAATTATTGTAGTTTTACGCAAAAATCGATAAAATGGCATTCGTTTTTATCGAACAGAAATGCTATAGTTATAATTTTTGAATTTTAGGTTTCAATTATTTATTAGCATAAGCGGAAAATGTCATGAATGCTTACATATGACATTATATTATATATTTAGTTACAAAAATCAGTTTTACTTTTTTTGAAAATAAAAGTAGAAACAAAAAGATTATTTATAATGGTTTGCCTGTCTTATTTATAATGGTTTACATTTCTGTTATTCAGTTAATTATTTACAAAAAATTGTTAAACGTCCAAGCTAATATCGAATATAATTTTCATTAAAAATTCCCTTTATAACTTTATCGTACTCTTAGTTTATTCAAAGTAGTAACATTCTTTTGTACAAAGGAATTTTAATTTGACACCAGTGACACAACTCCGCAATAGGATACCTTATAGACCGGGCGCTAGAGGTAGTTGAGTATGCAAAATGTGAGTACCAAATTTCGCCAACGGATTTAAGTGAGGAAAAGGTCAAAGAATAATAATGTGGATCTTGCCGGTCAATTTTTTGGTCCATTTTTTTTACCCCCTCTTCTCTTATTAATAAAGGGGATGTATTTAGTCCATGATATAAAATCGCTTTAATGATTATTTTCGTAACAATTTATAGTATTTTCTCGTGTTATAAGTGAAGATGGATGCTTAAATAATAAAAAAAAACAAAAATTACAGTAATAAATTTTTTTTATTGATAAAAAAATGAAAGTGAAAGTAGTTAAAGGAGGTAAAAAATTAATAATTTTTATTTTCACACTTGTTATTGATGCATTTACATAATGAAATACAAAATAATTTCGATTTTTTGCATTTACAAGACATTGTGCGACAATTTGAAGTACAATTACATGGTGGAATTAATGACTCTGGTAAAGACGGCTTCGTCATTTGTCGTGGACGTAAGTCACCGTTGAGCTTTTCGTAACCAAATGAACAATAATAATCAATGGGTGGTAATTCTGTTTGATGAGCATTTTTCCATATAAATGTTTGTACTGTAGCCCTTAATAAATGCAAATGCAAAGCATCTGAAGTGCATATCACTCTCATCAAATTGAAATTGAAACCTATATTCTGAGATATTAGTATAAATCTGAGTTCATCAGCAGATAATTTCTTCTTTGAAAATAAATATGTGCAAACTACTTCTAACTGTTTGAATTGCTCGTCATTTAGGTCAAGGTTTCCCAAAGGCATGAGAGCTGTTTGTACAAAATCTTCAGACGCAGCTTTCAACCATTGCATTTTACTACCAAATCTGCTAGTAGTGTCGCAACCACTCACAGCATGTAATGCTGGCAAAATATTGCATATGTTTTCACCCAGGGATTTAGCAGTCAAATGGCATCCTAGAAAGCATTTCTTCGTGTGAGAACCGTCAAACCATAGACCGAGACAGCCAATATTTCCTAAGTATTTCCAGAAATAAACTGCCAAGACGAATACATCTGTATCAGCGCTGATTATAATAATATGAGCAGATTGAATCCTTACTGCGTGAAAAATGTGAACGAACATTCTTGAATCAGCTTCTAAATGGTTTGATTGTAATTCGAGTATCTCACAAATTAGAGATCCTTGTAATTTGAAACATTTAGTTGGATCATCGAATCCCCCACAAATATACAACTCACAGTCTTCTTTTACTTGTGCATATTTTGGAGCATTAACACAAAGAAATCGAACGAGTTGTAATTTATTATGAGTGTTAGTAAGAAAAGCTTTACAATCAGCAGGAATATTTGTTGAATGGCTGGAAATTATGATATTTTTGGTGATTTGGTCTTTACCACGTAATTTCGTCTCCAAAAATTTTATGGAAATATCGTCGTATCTATCAAATATAACATCGATTCTCTTAACGCCGGGCAAAGTAAAAAATTCCATAATTTTTTGAAGAAAGCCTCGGCAAAATCACCAAAAGTATTGAACTTATTTAACTGAATTTTGTGAACAAGTGCCATACCATCAATAATATAAACTTTGAAAGTATTTAAATTTATTAAATCTTGCTGAGAGCTTGTACCACAATCATAATTTTTTTGAATTTCAACGAGGAGTTGCGATTTTGGTGACTTTCTGTAAAATCCGTCACTGTCAAATAGATACTTACAGTAATTCAATACTTCATACGATGCTAATATCCTTGTATTAAGTCCACGTTGAGAAGCCGTCATGAATGATTTTTGGAAAATTGTTATGTCTGTTACGTCTTGCAATTTTTTGTTGGGAGCATTTTTATTGGATTTCGAAGGAGTGTTTTTAAAGTTGTAAAATTTAGTTTTTTGTATGGAGTCCGATAATTTTTTAGTTTTCTGCAAAAATCTTTCATTTTCGTATGCAGTTACTAGAGCCTCCCCATTTTCTTTAGCATTCAATAAGCATCGCGAAGTTGATTCTTCCGCAAGTTCACCTGTGACAATATTGCGAAGCACACATCCCCCATTAGTAGTAAATGGACTACAACCTTTGAAACACTTAATTATATTTTCAACATCGTTTTCGTCCGTATTAATTCTTGATTGCGTCCATTCATTATGACTATTAATGTCACCTGTAGTGTCAGATTGTATTCCAAGGTATGATGTAAGCATTGAGTGAACGCTATTTTTGAAAGGATACAGAAGCAACCATCTTTGCATTGCTTCTTCATTTTTAGTGATACCAATTAAACCTCCAGTCACCGCAGAAGATCGGTTCTGAGACTGTTCCAGTGCTAAGTCGCAGCCAACTGCATTGAATGTTCCTACAGTTCGTTTTACGGCATGCATTCCTCTCTTTAGATCATATATGACGTCTCCAGGTAATTTTAACATGTCTTGTAAATAAAGTGTCACCCCACGAATATAATTTGTGTGATTCATAGAAAAAAAATAAGGTAAAAATTGTCTAGTAGACAATAAATGTAATTCATAGTTATTACTTCTGTCAGCTATAATTGAATTGAAAAGAATTTCTACCATTTCACAGTAATTATTCAAATATTTGAATAGTTCGTTTTCAGTGCTCATATGATTTAAAAATCTAAAGAAATGGGAAAGAAATGTTTCAATGGTGGTTTTATGTTTGTTATATTTATCGCTTAAGCCGATACGATCCTTATCTACAGTTACTTCTCTTAATTCTTGAAGATAAACATTTAACTGCTGCAATTGGTCGATAAAAGTCTCATCTTCAGATGAATTCATATAATCAATGAATTCTGTAAGCTGTATGCTTCTTAATGCTTCATACATAAGTTTATGCGCTCTAATACCTCTGTTATACTGAGTACCATTAAGAATTGAAGCCAAAGTATTTTCTCATAAACATTGGCTTCTACAAGAATGCTGTCAAGTCCACTTCCTTCTATATATTGGCCCAAACATCGTAAGAAATTTTTTTGTAGATGAAATGTTCCAATTCTTAATATTAATCCCTGGAATTCTTGACTACTTTGTTGGATATTTTTTGCTATCAGGTAAATTGACATGTCGCATGAAAGGACAGCTATATTTTTATTTAACGATGAAGATAATTTAACAAAATTTTTCATTGCAGTATACACAACATCTTTTGAAGTCGGTGGCTGAGGAATCACTGGACTAAATCCGATTGTAGATATAGGAGAATTCTCACATGATAGTAATTATTGGAATGGAGTCCATCCTGGTATCGAATTCTTCAATGGTCGATGAAAGTTGTTCAATGTTTTATCATATTGTAATCTACATAAGACCCAGAGCAAAGTATCAAATTGTGAGTAATTGTTAGTGGAAGTTAGTAGACAGCCGCTGTTAACATAATCAGATATTAAAGGCTCCATACTTGCATTGAAGTGATGAATTTCTTGAAAATTTAAGAACTTCAAATCATACTCAAACTGTTCAGTTGTAGGTTTCAATTTAACGAGATTTATTTCATTCTCGATTGGATTTTTTTCCTGATAAATTACCGTTGCTGTTACATGGGTTGAGTCTTTACCGCTTAATGTTTCTTCATTGAAGTCGTTGTTGTCGATGGCACCATGAAGGAAAAACGATGAATTTTTCACTATATTCTTAGGAATAATCACATTTTTTTCTGCATCTTCACACGCAATTGAAATTGTTAATTCTGAATCAAGCTCTTGTAATTTTTTATAGCTAATACAATGCCCAAACTTATTTAATATACTTATCAGTTGCTTTGATCTAGTTAAGTGATGAATTGATTCAGCTAAAGCTATATGTTTTGGTGTCTGCTTTTCAGTAACTATAAAATATATATCAAAAAATACAGATAATGCTCTTTTATAATAGTTCACGCTCAACTTTTGGTTTTTTGCATTAAACAAAGCTTGCAGAAAAATTTCCCATGTTTGTGGCAATTTTCCATTTTCTAATAATCTTTGAATCAAATTTTCATGACGTAAGTATCCACTAGGTATTAATTCGGTTTTTAATAATTCTTCACACAATGCTTTTGCAGTCTCAATGATGGTGTTTTTTGAATTGATGTTCCGAACATGTTCTATTATTTCCGGCAATGGTATATTTCCCATAAACGCTAATAATGATTTTGATCGATCAGTAGGGTAAGAAAATAATATGTTTTCACCAAATTTATCTATAAGTAGTGATTTCACTACACGATTTTCGATCACTGCACCCTCAATATTTGTAAGTTCAGCGAGTCGTTGAGCTAAGAAACGCACTTCAAAAGAATGTGTTGGTAACCGGTCTTTAATTTCATCTATTAGTTTGTCAAAAGCATCGATAAGTATTTCTTTAGGGATTTGATTTGAAGGTCGACCAGGTGGCAATTTAGAACTTCTCGGTAATCTTAAATAATCAAGGTAACAATGTTTGTGATATCTCACTCCGATAGCAAATAAATCTTCAGGCCGTTGACAAGTACTCAGTTCAGTGAAAACATGATCTTCTTTCCTACGTGCAGTACTAAAAATTTTTTCCGCTGCTGATATTTCCGAACATAAATGTAGCTGCTTATCTTTGTTTCTTGTTACCTTCTTACAAAATATGCATTTCAACGATTTTTTCAACGCTGCCGGTTCCCTTGATGACGAACGAGATTTTGGAGTCAGCTCCTCCACGTTTGCTTTGGAAGTTGAAGCAGACACTTCTTCTTCTTTTTTATGCAACGCAATTTCTCGACGCCTTATTTTCTCCTCACTTATATAAGTGGCTAAACAGTCTTGATGCCATGAAAATTCTTGTTTTGTGGAGTCTGGATTATATAGTTTTGAAAACTTCTCACTAATGCTGTCCTTTCTCCTATTTGCTGCTTCTTTGATATGAAGCAACGTACTTGGCCTTGGGTTCTTCACTAAATAACTTGAATTATCGCAGAATAAGCAAAATTGTTCGTTAGGTTTTTTTCTTTTCAAATTAACCACTTCTAACGACATTTTTTACGTTTTTCAATACAGTACACTTTGAACAAACACTAAGAATTTACGAAAATACTATTATTTTATCTTCTATATATATAAAAATGGATTGCTGTTCCTTAGTCTCGCTAAAACTCGAGAACGGCTGAACCGATTTGGCTAATTTTAGTCTTAAAATACTCCTGGAAGTCCAGGGAAGGTTTAAAAGGTGAGAAAAATTGGAATAATTGCCGGGAAATCCTAAAGACAGCCCTTTTCTATTTCCCATACAAACGTTTTTTTTGTCATTAGATTTGACAACTAACTAATATGTCAATCATTCTGTTTGATTGAAACAGGAAAAACCTGATTATTTATGGCCTCTAAGACGGAATAGTGAGCGCGCTATGCTTACTGTATGGGCGGAGAGGGGATGTGAAGGGAGGGGGAAGGGACCATAACATCTGGCGGCAAGATGTATTTTGTCACTATTTAGGGTCTCAGGTATAAGAATCCGGTCACAGTTGCCGTCACTCGGATTTTGCATACTCAACTACCTCTAACGCCTGGACTATTAAGACATAAAATAAACTTATTGTTTTCTAAAGAGGTGAAAATTTTATACCTACTTCTTTGTCTATGGAGACGGGGGTGGTAATGTGGGATTTACGGGCCATAATTTTCTATATTACTCGCTAAAACACAAGCGGCCACTCTCACTCGGCTAGCGGATCGACACAGGATTCACCCAAGGAATATAAATATCTGCGAGAATCTGACGAGATCCCCATCTTTTCAAGCTTGGCAACCTCCTACTCCCGAAGGCTCACTTCAAGTGACTTGGAGCGTCGTTCCACCTCTATAGGTGGAACGACGCTCCACCTATAGAGGGTCTGCTTAATCAAGAGAAGGTAACTTTACCCTTCCCATCCAAGCCCACGCGGTCAGTTTCCAATGATCCCCTGGCAGCCATTGTCGGCCCGCCGAGCGTAGTCTAACCCTTCTCTTAGAGTCCTTCTCTCGGCCCGGATCAAGAACCCGCAAGAAAGTCAAGGTCTTCCAACTGTAACTGATTGCACCGGATACACAGTGGGTGTTGGGGTCGTCACCTTCCGACGCCGAATCCAAACATAAACCTGTTTTCAAGTCCGTTTACTATCAGTAACTAGACTTACACTGATGTTATTAAAAAGTATATGTTGTATGGATTCTTGGTGAACGTTCATTTTCAAGGACATGCATTTTATTATATGTGTAAAAATGTTATGCATCCTTTCAATATAGACAGACAATTACAATTTTCCTAAAGCCACAAATACAATAAAAGTCTAATTTATGAATAATGTTTGTTATATATGCAATCATATATTTAATTTACATCATAAAACACACACAGACATTCCAAACGTGTGTAGTAAGTCTATTTGGTGAGGATGTGATGACATACTTCATAATTTTTTTTAAAAAAATTATTCATATTTATTATCCTAATTTATTACAATTGAAGTTAATTCTGACTAACACCTTCTAAAAAAGTTTGTGATTTGAATTCACTTTAATAATATTTTTATAAAATTCTTTCATATAAATTTTAGACTTATATTTCTCTGAAATATAAATATTCAGATGTTTTTTATGCGGCTTTCTACAACGAAATAAGATTTTTATTTACAGTGCTGTGCTATGATTACTCTGCTATTGCAATTTAGATTGATATGAAGAAGCTGCTTTATTTTTTCAAGCTTAAAAAAATTGGCTGTAGCGAGTTGTATACACACAAATATTTATCAATATAGATATCGCAACTACGTCTAAACGAAAATTTTAATAAGACGTATATGTATCTGGTCCATCTTTATTAAATAATTATGAAAATAATGAGATTTGCAAGATCCTAATTTTTATTGGATACTAAATTTCTTCTTGGCCGAATATTATTGGATATTTGATAATAAAAGAGATCTGTAGTCTAATATCTGATGTAATACGAGATAGGACCAAGATGTTAAACTTTATATATTTTTTGCTATAACTGATTTATGTCCCATAAGATATAATTTATTTTATATTAAAATTTTAATTCAAATATTGGATGTAACATTTGTAAATGCTCTACTAAACAAGATTTCCCTGGAGAGAGTTCGATTTGAACAAACATTGCCTTAGGAATCGGGTTTAGAGTGTTTTTAGTTTTCGTATTATACGTGACAGTGAGTAATATGTTTTTTTAAACGGTTTCTATATCCTGGGTGTATTAAACGTTTTAGATAAAGATTTAACATCTATTTTACTTCCATTTACTGCCAGTATTAAAGTGAAAGAGGAAACAAAAATTATATAGATATTTACCATTACATAGAAGTGATCCAATATGATAAGTGATTTCTGAACAGCTATTTCTAATATTTTTAATGACTCTGTAGGTAATGAAATTATTATATTTATTAAATCCCTAGAGGTTATTAAGATATGAAAAATAATAACACATCAATTTGATTTGAAATAAATTTATCACTTCTATTTTTATGTTATGGATTTTAGAAATATTTTAGGTCTATAAAACAATATACTTGTTAAGAAAATGTTATGCGTGATAGGTTTAATCTAAGAGTGACGTCTCGATATGAATTTTAATTAATAACTAATATTTTAATTTAATATAACGCTGGGATAAAATATTACGTTTGACAAAATTAATGAACAAAACAACAGTATACCTAATTTCCTTAATTCAACCACTGGGATGACCAAAGTCAAAGAGTAAATTGGGTACGGAATAGTAATTAGTGATTAATGAACAACAGTTAACTGTGCTCTGAGTAATTAGCGGACTTGAATCAAGCGGCTGGAAGCGGAGTCTAGCTGTTGCGGTTTTATTTATTTATTATAATGTATTGAATCTGATCATAAATACATATAATGATAAGAAAAAATAATTTATCTTTAACATATCCAACTGTCAGATCCATTGTATTTACAAAATTAGCACAAACGTATTTCGGATTAGAAGTAGAATTGAGAAGGATTAAGATAAGACTTGAGTTGTTATGTGTTAATAAATAAACGAGTCCTTTAACGCTTACAGGTGGAACAAAATCTCGCATCGACATAAATCGTTTCAAATTTTTTTTGTTTGAAATCTGTTAAATTGGCTGTGGACGTATTCTGTTAACTCATAAGAGTCGATAGTAGCAAATGTAGCGTGCTCCAGGGACAGATAACGAATAATATATTTGGCTTTTCACAGTTCAACACAAAGCGTTACGCATTGCGGCATTATGCAGAATGGAAACGTCTCGTCCTTCTATTTTTTAATTTAAATACTTTCCTATTCATTCAGAATGTGAGTAACTGGTACTATTTTTATGTTCGGCGGGTATTTTAATCTTTACAGTAGTTATTGCGACTGAATCTTACTTGAAAATGCTTTGCTTTGATTTCTTACAAACTATTTCAATTCTGAGTCCTCGATGTATAAGATGTTTGTTTTAAAAAACTAAATAAATAAAATAATTCATTTAGATTTTAATATGTATGTGAATCACATTCGTATTATAAGACTATCAAATTGTTGTTGTTTAATCCGAAAGTAAATGAAATGTTATAATTATTTCTTAATTTTTTATAATTAAAAATGTAATTTGTATAAATGTACTAGCACTATAATCTAGAAGGACAAAAGCGCATGGTTTAATAATTAAGAGAAAAAACATTTAAATACAACTCTACCAATTTAAAAGTATGGTTGTCAGCTTTATTACATTTTATATACTGGAAGAAACTTAACAAGAAAAATTGAGAAGGACTTAATTATGTTTAAATGTAAATAAAGTAAGCAAATGAAATTTCATATACTATTATGATAACTACTGCTGCTTCTCCTATAACTCTTGAGTATATTACAAATAAGGCGAACTCTAATGCACTGGAAAAAAACAAGACTAATAAAGAATTCTAATGACAACGGCTTATCTTCTATTCATATTCCAATATATGTATAATGAATCTGAAATTGATCTTTTTGTTTCAGGTTTACATTCGCGTCTCATAAAATGGTAAGTGCAGTTTAATTTTGCGATCATAAAAAAAGACTATTTGTGTTTAAGTCCATATTAATATAGAAGCTATTTTGTGAGAAGATCTTTAATATCAATTAATGTGATCCTTGTGTCCCAATTATAAAAAAAGGCCTTCAAGAATAATATATTTGATTTCATCAATATTTATTAACACAAAAGTTTGTTTTCATTAATCCAAGATTTAATCAAATAAATCCCGTTGATTATCTCACGCCGAAAGCCATTTGATCAAATAAAGACGTATTTTCGACGCAAAATGGATAAATCAGAATGAAATGTTGCCAGCATTTGTTTGATTCCAATGATAATAATATAATCGTTTCAATTTGTCTAATGGATTTTTATGATGGAGTGTTGCATATATCAAAAACGTGATATCGAATTTGTTATTTTAAATGAAACACAAATTTAATCGGGATAAAGTAAAATATAAGCGATTTTGAAAGCAACTTCCATTAATTACAAAAAATAGTAACAGATTTCTAAAATGGATGGAGTGCGAAGAAACGTTCGATATCATTGAAGAGATGCTTATTTTCGCAGCTGATTCTTTATTAGATCTAAATAATAAAATTGTATCTGTTTCGACAAAGAATACTGGAAGAGATTAGATTTACTTGAATTAAGCAAAAAAAAAATTAGTAATCGTAACTTCCTAAAGTGCAAAAATCACACGATTCAAAAGTATCGAAATTTTAATATACCCCTAACGATAACGGCTTTGAGTGATTATCCTATAACGCGTTAGGTACTTAAGAGAGTATTTAAAACCCCAAAAATGCCCAAAATTCTTTCACTGTTGGATCGATACTACCAAACATAGCTTGAAAAACGACCAGAAAGAAACTAGTTTAAAAAAAATGACCATAAATCTCTCGGTCTATTTGGTAGCTATGATGCTACTGTCAGATACATACACATATTTAGATATTGACGTTAAAAACTTATGACACCGCTCTT